ATAATCGTTAAGAGTAGCATTGGAAGTTATTTTATATACAGTAAGACCCCGCTTAACTCTGTTTCGTTTAACTCTTTCATTTCAACCCGAACATTTAAGCAGATGTTTAAAAAAACAGATGAAGAAGAGAAGCAATCAATAAGAGAAAAACTACAATATCATGAATGCTGGAATGGAATGAATGAGATAACAGAAAGATCTTTTAAACCAGTATGGAAGAACATTTGGCCAGATTAAAGTAAGAGCGAAGACATTGGACGCTCTGTTGATATGGATGAATTAGTGTAGGAAATAGTGAAATTAGCGAAACAAGCCCGTTTAAATGAGGTAAATGTGGAAAATATTGATAGTAGTGATTTCGAAGAAGAGCAAAAAAAAGGCGCTTGTAAAAAGGAGTTTGATCACTACAACTGATATTATAAACCAATTTGTTCAAAATGATTCAAAATTTTGACAAGAGTTCAAAATCAAGGCGGGGTGTTATAGATGCTTTATCCATTTATAAACAACTTCTTATAGAACGCAAAAGGAAAACGCAAACTACATCAGATGCCTTATTGACAGAAAGACAGAAAATTGGACACACAGAATAGACTACACAGATCTGACTGACTTAGAATTTTATTTGTTTTTATATATATTCGTTTACATTGTTTTTGTTTTTGTAGGATATAAATATTTGGTTTTATTATTATTAAAAAAAATATAATTATTAAATTTAATGCATAAGCAATTTTCTCACAATCTTCCCTAACCCCATTATTTACATGTTAAGATAGCCTCGTTTAGCGCTGTTTCGTATTACGCTTTATTTTGATGGAACTTATACTACGCGTTATACTACGGGGTCCTACTGTAGTTTACTTTTACATCAATTGACAGTCTTCATTAATGTTATTCAAGAAAATTAAACGAATGTCGTCCTGCCCCTCTGCTGAAAATTGTCCAAATCCAGATTGTTTTTTCGAGTTCTTCCTTCTTTCGAAGCTTGGTGTTTATGTAAAATTAAAACCAAAATTCGAAAATGTAATGGTAAAAATAGATCCTTTTTTGACAACATTGAAAATAAATATCGCTCTGCAGTATGAAAAGACACATTTAATAGTAATGATTTGTAATAAGGTTTTGAAAACAATTCACAAAATTGAAATGAATAAATATTGCTCTTTTGAGATTATTGCCTTTATTTGAGCTGGAAAAGATTTTGCAATTTAATACTGTCATTGAAAATTGAAAACAAGAACTTGGATTCCTCAATTTAATGCACAAAAAGACGGTCAAATTCCGAAATATTTACGACTGCAGCTGTGAAAAACAGAATAATTTCAAAAAATATTTGCAGTCTATAACTCGAATGTTCTAAAACCCAAACTAAATAGAGTGCAACAGGGTTTAGAGAACAAATTACGATCAATTACAAAAAAATTCTTTAATTCAAACCTTTTCTTTGCAGAATAGTACTTTGAGTTATGGAAACTTGACTGTATACATAATAAAACAAATTAATGGGCCTATTTACACTATCATTAACGTGAGATGAACTTAACGACAACATGAACTGTCAGTTCATGTACACACTATCGTGAACTCTCATGAGCGTGAAATTTCCCAGTAGAAAACGGATCGATCCGTCATCGAAGACGTCTTCAAGACATGGATACATACATGAAGACCGATCGATCCAAATGTATGACGGTCTTCGAAGACACTTTCATACAAATTAGCCAAATGTCTTCAATGAATTTTTGTGTACATGTCTCGAAGACCGTCTCGAAGACCATGTCTTGCATAACGGACGCATTCGACAGAAAGTTGTGCGCTCTTAGTGCAGTGCTCATATAATTTTTTCACCCTTTTTTTTATTTCTACTCTTTTATTGCACTCTTTAAATTTTAAATGAATTTAAATTTTCTCTTTAAATAAGTAGAAAGAAATTGTTGTATTTTGTACTTTTATTTATTTTATATAATAATTTCTTAAATTACATTCAAAATTAAAAGTTTTAAAAGTAAATTATAAATTTTATTATAAATTATTATAAATTTTATTAAGATATTAAAAATAAACTAGTAAAAACTAGTAAACATAATGAAAATTAATTTAAATAATTAACTTAATATAACTTAGCATATCTAAAATTAACTAAAACTAATATAAAATAATTTATAGCATTTCGCTATCATCAATTGTTGAAGCTTTATATGTTTTCAAAAGCGTTGAAGAGGATTTTGGTACAATTAAACCTTCTGATCTTAAGAGTTCTAAAATATCATTACTACAACGCCTGTTTATCCTGTATTTTTTAAATATAACAGCTAATTTTTCACAAGTGTTTTCATTTTTTTTATTTTCAACATCCTTTGTTTCGTTTCTAAAACAACTTTCACTGGAATTATTGTCTTCAATATTAATATCAATATATTTTCCAGGAACTAAGTCACTATTTAATTTGTTTTGATTTAATTTCTTTTTTTTTAATATTTCGTAGTTTAATGATTTTGTTTCTTTATTTATTTTGATTTTTTAATATTTATTTCACAAATGTTTATTCACTACACTTCAAAATTATTGCGTCAGTTCATTTATAAAACATAGCGTCATCTGATGCAAAATTCAAATACGTTGCTGTGAACACTAAAAATGAGAGAGAAAGCAAAGAAAGAGTATTTACATTCATGTTTTGAGCAATTGTTTTGCAAATTTGCTTGAAAATGCGGACGCGGTATCAAAGACCGTCTTGAAGACAATGTCTTCGAAGACCACTTTTTCTACTGGGTTGTTTCGTTTTGTGTAAATGTATAAAATGCTTGTGTGTAGTAGTGTAGAGTACAGAAATTAAGAGTATTCAGTATTAAAAGGTGAACATAAACATAACATTGCATATGTAGGTATGCGTATCAAGCTGAAGAAATGCAGCAAATTTCATTGCGTGAAATTCATGAACTCACATCACACTCTCATCAATAAGCAACCAGTTTTCAAGTTTATGTTCATGTTCATGTTCATGATAGTGTAAATAGGCCCAACAAGAAATTTTGGTCTTTTGGTGGTTCAAAAATAAAATTATTTAAATTTTAATTTTTATTTAGGCTACACTGATCTTGTGACATTTTTTTACCCGACGTCTCGTTGGTTTTTTTCCAACATCTTCAGGGGTAACGAAACGATTTTTTTATTATTTAATAATTATAGTTTTTTACAATGCGAAAACAATTTCATAATTTTTGATAATGTATAAAATTCAAATGGTACACAAATAAATGACAACAACAATAATAACAAAACGATAGCAATAGTTAACAAATTATCACTGTTTATTTAACATTTTCATGTGTAAATTAAAAAATAAAAAGTAAAGATTGTTCTTATGAACATTATGAACACTTCTTCAAGTTACCGCCATTTTTGATTTGTTTATTATAGAGCAGCAATATAATTTGAGCTTATATTCTCCGTATCTTCTTTTATGCTCATTGTCAAGTTAATTTTCTCGATTTCGTAAGCTTTCGAGCGTGCAGCGTTTTTTCCATGACATCTGTTTGTCCAACATTAATATATTGTTGAAATCTGGATTATGTTGTCTCTCGGTGCAATGCGAAGATAGAGCTGTATTGGTTTTGCTCTTGCTGATGTCTGATATATGCTCAGCTATTCTGGTGTTTAGTGATTTCTTCGTTGTACCAATATAGATCTCTTTCCAACTTCCATCTTAATTTATTTGATACACCACATTATTTTGTTGCGGCTTATAGATTTTATTTTTATTGTTGAAGAAAATTTTATAAGTTGTTGGATTGGGTTTATAAGCACAAAATATATTGTCTTGTTTTAGTATTGCGATTAAGATTCTATTACTAACTAATTTTGGTACATAGCGTACTGAAAAATATTGCTTAGGAGCTTGGTTATTGTTATTTTGAATATTGTTATTGTGACTTTTGTCCTGTTGTTTAATAAAATTGTTTATTAATTTGTGTAGATAATAACAATATTCAAAAAAACAATAACCAAGCTCCCAAACAATATTTTTCGGTAGCAATGATACATCGGATGAAAAAAGGAAGTAAATTAATATTTTATTTGCATCCCAGTTACAAGATCAGAGTAGTCTAAATAAAAATTATAATTTAAATAAAAACCTAACGTACTGGTCAAAAAACCCTTAATAATAAAAGTATTTATAGTTTAATCTTCACCAACCTTCTCGTTGGGTTCATTCCACATCTTCAGGAGTGGTTTCTTTTATTTTTTGCACAAATCTATATTTACATGTACATTTTATTAATTTATAACTTTTTCTTCTGCTTTTGTTGTTGTTGTTATTAAACTATTGTTTGTTAAACTAATAGACAGTCCTGTTAGGAGTATACGGACGTACTTTGTAACTTGATAAAGTAATAAAGTTTTACGTGCTTTTGCGTTAGTGAAATAAAATTGCCTAAATACGGAGCGGTGCTTTCCTGTAATTCATTTCAGAACTTCTCTTCAACAAATGTCATTTCTGTTCTCTACTAATATATATATATATATATATATATATGTTTACATATATAAATAAATTTAGTATTTAAACGCATTTTTGCAAACTAAATTTTTTATATACGAATAGACTTTCATGTATTAAATAAAATTTTTTGTTATTTTTTAATTAATTTTATATATGTAGTTTATATTTTTATAATAATATAATAAATCGTAAATGATTTACTTTGAGACGCTGTCTGTGCGATTCCTTTTTATTATAAAACCTCCTCTGATTTGTACAAAATTTTGGTCAATTTAGACAGAAAACTTTGAAAAGGGTTGTCTACGATACATACATACATGTATTTATACCAATTGTAAAATGATTTTTAACGGATATTTGTGTTGAGATCATTGAAGCCGCGTTAAAGACATGACTAATCATTCTTCGTTTTTTAATCAGCTTATCCTATATATAAAATAAATTAATTCAAAATACATTATATAGCAGGCTGCCGCTGTTCATTTTTTATTGCTTACAGAAACCCACTTGATTAAAAAATGTTTTGGACAATCAAAATGTAACAAATATACTTCTAATATATTACTTTAAGAAACTAAGTACGCTGGAGAGGTATTTGTTGGTTCAATACTTAGAGCTTCTTTACTATAAATACGATCCATGTAATGTACAATTTCAAATCCTACTTCCACCATAATTAAAATTATTATCATCCATTCCAAACGTATATGATGTGCGTCGTTCAGATTGTGTGAAATCAATTCAGCCAGTTCTACACAGTGGTTCAATTTCTCGTTCATTACTTTAGTTCTACGGGATATACTAAAGTACGAGCAAACTTGGAGGTATAAGTTTTCTAGCTCTTCTCGATCCCAGTAGAAGTCTGGTGTATCAAGTAAATCAGATGATAAATTTATAAAATGTCTTAAAGCAAACAGTTCTCCAGTTTTTCGCAACACAGCATCTCTTGAAATTCTTATACGTCTACCTTTTTTTAAATCTTCTGTTAAGAACTCCATTGAATCAATTATACGACCAAGTTTTGTTTCCCACATGCCTAATTTAGTGGAGGTAGCCATTGCATTAGAAAATGTGTATTTTTGCAAAAAGTTATCTTTTGTGCCAGTTAAGAAAAATTTTCCGTCTTGAAAAATTGCATTTCCAAGTTCTTCTTTATTTGCTAGTTCACGCTTTTCGTTTGATGAAGGGGTAGGAACATATGTATAGGGCATAACTTCAGCTTCGCCACGAACCAAAGGACGTAAATATGCATCCTTTTCATATTGCCGCAAGAAGGACAAAATATTGTTTGTTTCAATTTCGTTAAAGTTCCACAGAACTACTGATCCTTCACGGAAAAAAAATATGTCTCGATTTTCTGCTCCAACTTGGTATTTGGCTGTGGCGTAAAGAACATCTTGCTCGACTCCGAGCGGATCAGTCGAAAAGAATTTTTT